TATTATCTCTTACAATCTCTCAAGAGATTATTACAGAGTGTAACCATCTATGGAGGTCACATGATGAGAAGACAAGCAGAAATTCCAGAATAATTTGGGTTAGTCACCGTTTTGGTGGTAAAATAGCATTTATTATATTTCTATGAGTTGTTTACAATGTATTTATTGTGAAACATGGACATCTTACCAACAGTTGTTATCCCTTTAACCTTACAGATTACTTATGGGCTTTGTGACCTTTCAGCATACATTCCAATGTAAGTGATTTTCTAAAAGATGTTCATGGGTAATCTCCCCCCCCCCCCCCCTCCTTCATTTCTTTCCTACTCTGGGGTGTCATTTATAAGTGCTTCCTCATAGTCTTCTTGAATTTCAATATAAATTTGATTTAGGTTTCTGCTAATGTTTTTCCTCCCAACTAAAGATATGCATTTATCTGCAACAGCAAAGGCAGTAGATTCAATTGGGGATTTCTGGGGTGACTGAAATTTATATGGAGAAGTTGATGGGTCTAGTGTGCTGCTTGAAATTGGGTCACCCTCTGTTCTGTGTCTCTTTGGTGTGCTGTACTTGGGATCTTTTTTCACTCTTGTCTTCAGTTATAATTTTGCAGGAAAATTTATTCCTACTAATATCTGCATCTTCTTTAGACTTTTTGCAATAGTCTTCATATCATTCAGGAATATTCTTGGGACTTTTGGCCTGAAGATTCATATAAATACAGCGATAAACATTTAAGTCTCATATTAGTGCACTAGGGGAGCAAAGAAAGTATTTAATACACACAAAAATATCCTTCAAACACTATCACCATGGAAGAATTGTTTACTACCATGGCCCATAGGAGCCTAATCGTGCGTCTTTAAGACGCCCTTTCACATGCGAAAACAACATGCATGGTGTCTATTTGTATGTAATTAAGCCATATAGCAGCAGACAAGAACCCCATTCACACTACAGTTGCAAAAATGCGCATTTCTATAATTCGAATTTTTCGTGAGGACACTCGCGCATGCACCGCACAGGAAATCTTAAAATACCAACAAAAATTTGTGACGACAGATGCAACTCAAAAGACATTCCAGCATTCATGAGAAGTATAAGATGGCAAAATAAGTTTGTTTCCTCATGTTGTAGTGAGTAGTGACCTCCAAATATGTTTGGTGCAATCGCTTAAGTAATAAACAAGCGTTCAAAGATACTTGCACTTATCTGCAGATAATCAGGCTTAAATGTCTGTCCCGCCTACTACAAGCTGTAAGGGGTTATTAACTGTCGTGCCCGCTCGGCTGACAGCTATTTAGCGTGAACCCCCAGGGAGTTATGTCGATCTAGTTGGATCGATCTAATCTCTGGGAATGGGGTCTAAAGGATGAAAGTGACATGGGTCGTCAATTTCGTATCTATGGAGTTCAGTAAGTGGTAAAACAGACACATCCATGTCATTTTTGGGGCTCAAAGCTTTGTAGTAAAAGACAAATTGGGCATGGGCCTTGTCAATTCTGCTGCTATAGGGCTTAATAACATACAAAACAGACACATTGCATATCATTTTTGCATGTAAAGGGGCGTCTAAAAGACGCATGCGTAGGCTCCTATTGGCCGTGGTAGTTGGGAAATGGGTTTTTGCTGCTACAATGTACAGTAGGCTCACTTTCTCCTTTGCAACTACTTACACTGACCTAAGTGAAGTTAAACCTTTCAGCGAATGAATGATGAAGGGACTGGGTTTCCCATATCACTTTCACATACCAGAACCAAGGTTTCCACTAGATTTTGGACCTAACGGGTCATTTTGACCCCCACAATGGGGATCATTTTCAAAATTTAGGGGTCAAGAATTTATAATTTTGAAATAACATTGAAATAAATTTTAGAAGCAATAAAAACAACATAAGAAATGTGTCATTTATTATCACTTTTATTTTTTTACTTCCTTCTGTTTTTGTCAGTTTAAAATTTTGCAAGGGCAGCACCAAAATTTATCTCTTCAAGTTTTGGCCCCTCTTCACATGCTCTGGACTTTTAATCTACTCCTCCATTTTGTGTGGATTCTGTTCATACAACTAAATCCCCTTTCACAAGGCACGCTACCAATATGGATAACGAGTGCAATAATAACCAACTTGCAAAAGAATGGATACAAATCTTTGTAGTCATCTGTTAACACATGCTAAGAAAAACTTGCTAAATTCATATGCCTATGAACATGCACAAGTTGCTTGAACATGGGGTACTCTGCCACCAGACCATCCCTATCAATGACAGACCTTATCACACGAAAGAAAGTCACTAATGGAACTTTCTGAACTTTACTGACATTTACAAAAACAAGTAGATAATGTTACACTGAGGACTGAGATACATGTAAGTGTGTGTCATATGGACGCAATACATTTTAAATTGGGGGTCAATTTTGATAAAACAGTGTGCTAACTGGAACTCTGTAGATGCAAGTTTTGGGTAAGTTGGAAGATAGCTGAATACTGGGTGAATGCATTACGGTACTGCCATAATGCAACTTCTGTTAAAAAGAAGTGAACCCCATGACACAAAACTCATGAGACCCTAGCTACATGTACCTGCCTTTAAGTTAAAGTATATATTGATACAAAATGGAATAAATACAATGTGCACTATCCCCCCCCCCCCCCCCCAACCCCATGCATACCCCTATCAAGGATTGTGGGCCTCTGCCTTGTTCGGAGATCATTTGATGGCTTCTTTATAAGCACGTAGGAACTTAATGGAACCAAGTGCCTAAGGTCGTGTCTTCCCCCTCCCCCCCCCCCAAAAAAAAAAATTAATTAATATTAATTATATTAATTCTTCCCCAGAGTCAATTTTTGTTAAATCCTGAAGTACATGTGTTTAAATAAAGTACATAAATAAATTGGTAGAAATTCCCTCACCTTATCTTAAAAGAACAGATATAATAAGACATGAACATATTCATTGGCTTAGAAGTAAACAGCATTTCTTAACTGAGGCATATGTGTGTGTAAATTTACTTACCTTGTAACAAGTCCATCTTGGTAATTTGGGGTATATTCTTACATTTTCTGGATTCGGAAGATTTATTCAGCGTAATATTTAAAGCTGTTGACTGATAGGGTGAATGACAAAGGCGTGTGGATGATACATATAACTGCCAGAGAGCAACGTTGGAGCCTTCTCTATTTCATAGTTTTCCTGCTTATAGCTGCCTAGCTTATGTTAACCTCTGGTGCCCCTTTATTGCAAAGACCCAAAGCTTCTTAATGAAACATAAGTGATGTTGTAAACTTAAATGTGAACTCTTCAAAACCCATATGAGATGGGGGGGGGGGGGGGGTGTGGACATAGCAAATTCACTGCTTATATTCAAATAATTCTACATTACAGAATGTTTATACTGCCTTTGGAGTATCTTACTTCCTAAATAGTAAACCCTTTGTGTAAGCAAACCCACAGCCAAGCAAACTCTCAAATTTTCAAAGGTCAGAAAAAAGTGTAAGCCCGGTATGGTTCCTGTCTAACTGCAGGGTGAAGTGGAGACTGACTTTGGCTAGTATTGTTGACTACTGCAGGATGGATGAAACTAAGACTGAAGAATTACATTTTTGATGAAACCCATGCCAGTCAGTAAAATTGGGGTATTAGGTGTGTGTACCCCTATCAATACATATCAAAATATTGAGACAAGAGGAATGTGAACTGACAGGGTGAATGACAAAGGCAGGCACATATGATACAAATTGCTGCCAGCTAGCAACCCCTTTGTCTATGACAGGTTCTATACTTAGATCGATCCATTTGGATTGACCTAACTCCCTGGGGGTTCACAGTAAATTGCTATCAGCTCAAGAGGCTTAAATGTCTGTTACACCTACCGAATCAGCTAGGGGTAAAAACCCCTAACAGTTTTACTAGGCGTGACAGACGTTGAAGCCAGTCATTTTGATAGCAATTTAGTGAGACCCCCCAGGGAGATAGATCGATCCAAATATCTGTGGGAATGGTCCCTATTTCAGTTTTTACTTCTTGCTTTCAATAAATTCATGAATAGAAGTTTACAACATGAGGACCCCAAAATTGAATCTCTAATTAATGAATTCTTTGATGGTTTTGAAAACAGTACTTTCAATGAACTTGACCACCTGACTTACTGTAAATGAAATGAAAAAGGCATCTACCCAACTTAACAATAATAAATCCTCTGGCCCCAATAGCATACCTAATGAAATGATCAAAGAGGGTGTTCATACACTGGCTGCCCACCTGCAGGAGTTTTAAAAACCACAATTTTGAATTTACAGCCTCAACCTGGTCAACTGACATCAAAAATACACTGGCGCTCATTGGACGCCCTGTCATCTGAGAAGACCCTCTTAAAACATCTAAGATCGCATTCACAACGAGTTGAGCCAGGCTTTACAAATCCTGGAACTAAATATGGCGGATGTCAGGAAAGAAAAACTGCCTAATCTTTTAATTGTCTCCCTGCCTCTCACAAGCCTCCCCACACGTTGTCCCTGCGGGGTACAGTCATTAAATCTCAGCTCCGTTCACCATGTGGAAGCTACCTGAGAAAAAGAAATGAATTGGACTGTAGAGCAGCTTTGAATCGGGATCAAAATCGTGACCCCCCCCCCCTTCCAGTTCAATCAGGCGTAGGGAACAATGCAAACATCAGCATCAGAACGAACTGCGCCCTCTGACGAGACTGCATACCTAAAAATTCTGCCCTTCTCCTCCTCCATCTACTGGGGCTGTGTATCTCTGTGAATATCTCTGGCGACATTATCTCCGTAGATAGACGATTCATTGCTGCTCTACGGGCCAATTCATTTTTTTTTTGTCTCTGTTTTGAAACATAATAGAACAGAAGAGCTTTTTTTCTTTGGATGGCCTCCAGCCGCCATGCTTTCTTCACCTCGAGTTTAATTGATGAGCATGCGCACTTAATATTTCTCAGGTAGCTTCCGCATGGCGAACGGAGCCGAGATTTAATGACTGTACCCCGCAGGGACAATGTGTGAGAGGTGGAGAGACTATTAAAAGATTAGGCATTTTTTCTTACATGTACGTCCGCCATATTTAGTTCCAGGATTTGTAAAGCCTGGCTCAACTCATTGTGAATGCAATCTAAGACCCCATTTCCATAGATTTTAGATCGATCTATCCCAGTGGGGAGTCTTACTAGATTACTGTCAGCTTAGCCGGCTTAAGTGTCTGCCCTGCCTACTAAAAGCTGTAAAGGGGTAATTATCTATGGTGCACGCTCGGCTGACAGCAATTTAGCGTGAACCCCCAGGGAGTTAGGTCGATCTAAATCTTAATTTCTGGATCGATCTAAATCTCTGGGAATACACCCTAAGACCTCACTCTCTTCCACAAAAAAACCTCTCATCCAAAGCTCCTATTGTTCGGCCTTTGAAGCCCACCTAGCATCCCTGAACACGGAGGGTAAAAAACTACGCACCTACAGCACCTTCAAGAAAGATTTTAAAAGAGAAATATACATACAATTAATCCATAGCTACATACCTTTACAAATTCAGAATAAGTGCACACAATCTGGCAATAGCAAGGGGGGGGGGACACAAGAACCCTAAAATACCGATAGAGAAAAGGCTATGCACGTTGTGCAACATGTGCTCAGTCGAAGATGAGTTCTATTTTCCCTGCTATGCTCTACTGAGAGACATATTTTAACCAGGTTGGAGATATACTGGGCAGTGCAGCCCCTGAGTCCATCAGTGAATTTTTTCTTACCATACTGCAATGTAATGATTTTGATTTAACAAACTGCACATCTGACTTTCTTTTTGATTGTTTTTAAGCTAGGGATATGAAAATTGCATCTATGCTGAATAAAACCTAGATAAACTAATGATGCAGTTCTCATATCCCCCTAAACAACAGAAAGTTTAATATAAGGCTTAATACCCTATTCTAGTTGAATTAGATTTTTTGGGGGTGGGGTGATCCCTATATTGATCTATATTGTGTAGTACTTGTACTTTTTTTTTCACCTCTCTTTCCTTTCCCTGCATTAGTTTAGACATGATAATGTATATCTAACTGTTTACGGTAATCACTCTGCGGATTCCTTTTTGTATTTGTATTTGATCATGCCTGGATGTAGGGCAATTATCAATAAACTTCTGTATCTGTATCTGTATCTGCTTAGCTGCCCAGCTTATGATGACCTCTGGTGCCCCTTTATTGCTAAAATCCAAACCTACTCAACTAATTATAAATGACCTCTGGTGCCACTTTAAGCTCTTCAAATCCCATATGGGATAGAGGAGGGAATAAAAGACATAGTCATTTCACTGCTTATATATGCATGTAAAGTATAATCCTAGATCCCCCATTTCAAAGCTTCTGGAAACACTCAAATTTGATCTTAAGTTATTACTTATCATAATTATAACTATTGTTTATTATTATAAATGCTATTATTAATTAATACCTGTTGGTCCAATTAAGCTGGGGGTGCAATAGGAATCTATAGGTGCATGTTGCATCCGAGAGTCCAAGCTGAGTTTGCGCCATGATCTATAGATTCATGTCGCATCTGAGAGTCCAAGCTGATTTTGCGCCATGAATCTATAGATTCATGTCGCATCTGACATTCCAAGCTGAGGTTGCGACACGAATCTATAGATTCATGTCGCAGTTTGTGAAAATCACAAAAACTTTATAAAGTCCCACTACTTAATAATTCCCATTTCAAATAATGACATGTTTTGAATTGAATTGACCTTAAATCGTATCAAAAATCACAAGTTTATTCACTTGATGTTACACAACCACTCGGAAACATTTCTTGCAAAATATTTTTAACTATCTTTTATTTAAATCTGTTTCAGATACTTCCCTTTTAAATTAACTAAAACAAGGTCTTATACTATCAGCATGAATTATTTTGATCATTATCATATCTACGTACGTTACTTCAATCCTTACAATTTTACATAATACAAACCATTTCCTATTCTCCAACCTTGCAGTTATCCTATTATATAATAAATCATTGGTTACCATGGTTGCATAAATATACTACTGCACCAAATGGAGCATTAATTTACTGTTTGTGTTGCTAGTAGTAAAATTAAAATTCTCAGTTGCCATGATTATGATTGATAACCATATTACCTCAAATGGAGTACTAATTTGCTGAAAAGCAAATAAAAACCAATGCCAGCAGTAAAACTTGACTATAAAAACCACTATTTAAATAGAAAATGTCCAAATGCAAGACACCCGAAGGCAACTGCTTAAAGCCAATGCAGACATCAGCTCTGTAGACTCTCATCATCAATCACAATGGCCTGTCTTTCCACCAGTTTCCTGAACACTCCATTAGATAACTGAGTGAGCTCAGAGTATGAACCAAGTTCTACAACTTTCCCTCCGTCCAACACCGCTATCCTGTCTGCATTCTTAATGGTGGACAGGCGGTGGGCTATGGTGATCACAGTACGTCCTACCATCAGCTTCTCAAGTGCATCCTGAACCAAGTGTTCACTCTCAGCATCCAAAGCACTGAGAAAAAAATTGTGAAAATAGTAGAGACTGGTATACATTTAAGTGCGCAGAATGGCAGAACTACAGTTGAACAAAAATGTTTCTCAAGTAGAACTGCCAAAGATACAGCAATGCTAAATTGACAATTTGTATTATGAAGCAATTTTTGCATTCTTGAATGAAATTGTTTTTTTTTTTAATCAAAATGAAAAAAGATTTGTGCATTACATCATATTATCACAGGAAGTACTAAAGAACCAGTTTAAATATGAGAATTTACCACACCAAGAACTATGCATAAACAGGAACAATACATTAAAAACAATTTTAATGTGAAAAATAAAGAAACAGCTCTACCTTGTGGCTTCGTCCAGCAGTAATATTTTAGGATTCTGCAATAAATAACAGTCATTTACTATTTACATATTATAGAAGCAATTTTCCACCTATAATCTCAGACTGGTATTTTTATAAAGAATCTAAAACAATTTCACAACTGCTGCTATAAGAGCATTCCTCTAATTGCTTTAAAGGGTTTGCTTCATGCCGTCAGAATGGCCTGAACGGAACATATTCTTCAGAAAACATGCCCAACTAACGATATCTTAATCCAAATACACAAATTAAAAGCTCATTTTGTAAATTTTT